CCCCAAAACCCCAAAACCCCAAAACCCCAAAACCCCTTATGCTAGTATAATTGTTGAGCTATGATCAGCGATTATTAAATTATAGGACATCTTCAAGTCCGCCTGCTCCCCATTCATCTTCGAGTACTGCTTTCTCTTTTGAAACTTTTGGCTTCGTCTCTTTTGGCTTCGTCTCTTTTGGCTTATCCTCAGCTACCTTCTTGGGTTCTCTCTTGATGAATTTATTATCCTTTTTATCATCATCGAACTTCTTTTTGGCTAAAGGCTTCTTCTTATCCATTTTAGCTTCTTCAGCATCCTCCTTTTTCTTGAGCTCTTCCTTCTTCCTTTCAGCTTCTTCTTGGGCTTTGGCCATGGTCATCTTGTTAGAAGCACCTTTTGAGAAGAACTTTGGAGGTCCACCGCTGCTAGTTATGGGCTTAGGCTCTGTCTCTTTGGGGGAGGATTCATCAGCTTTGATATTTTTGTTGTTTGCTCTGAAATTCCCGAAGAACTCATCCTTCCTTTTCTTGAAGCGAGGAGCTTGCTCTCTATTGTCATCTTTTTGGTCATCCTTTTTATCTTCTTTGTTAGTCTTGTGGACTTCTAGCTGGTCGAACCTGTTTTTGTTATTGCCAGTGAATTTGGGAGGCCCGTTCAGCTTCCTGCTAGATGTATCTTTCTCTGGAGGAGGAGCTGTATCTCCGAGCTCTGGGAAGTATTCAGCACCCATGCTCTTTTTGCCTAATCCAGCTCCGTTACTCTTGTTGCCAGTAGAGGTAAACTTAGGCCTTCCAGATCCAAAGCTAGGTTTTCCACCAAACTGAATATCGGAGGCTGACTTCCCAGGTACTGATGGCTTTGCGGCTGAGGCATCCTGGACTAGCTTAGCTGAGTTCTCATCTGCTTTCAGGAATTCTTGTCCTTCTTCGTCCCATTTGGCGACTTCTTCCTTCTTGTCTTCTTTGACAATCTTTTTCTGGAGTTCATCGACTTCTTTGCCTTCAATTTTGAAGGTTGTCTTTACCTGGGGAGTTTCTTTTTCAACTTCCCACTCGTTCTCTTGCTTGGCACTTGAGGTGTCCTATATGAGAGATTAGGCTACTGTATGACAGCTGATTTGGGGCTCCCAGAGGTTGATTTTAGTAGGGATTTTTAGTGAAGTTTATGAGGCTGAAGGAAGCCAGACCAACTATTTGTAATTATCCCGTGTTTGGAGTAAATCCATAAGTTACAGGCTAGGTTGGGAGAGGAAGGACGAAGTAGAGATCAGGGCCTTACCTGCTTGTTTTTGGCAGAAAGTTCCTCTTTTTTAGTAGTCTTCTTCTTCTGATTGGCTTTCTTCTTTTTCTTTGCGAGCAATTCTTTGGCTTTGCTTGACATATTTGGTCTTTATTTTTCCAATATTTATTAAAATTCGGGGTTTTGGGGTTTTGGGGTTTTGGGGTTTTGGGG